ATAAAGAACCCAATTTGGGACTCTGTTCATTGCGACTCATTCTAAGGCCTCCATGACTGTCCTTCTGCATCTCTTGCCAGATCACCCAACTGAAGGGGGTGGGTAGGTGTGCACATGCACACACTTTTTTGTTGTCCAGACTCCCCAGAAAGTGCTACCATGAGCTGAGCAGTTTCTACTCCCTGTGGAAAAATAGACTCTGAGTTCTGTGGGGTTGTTTTTCCTTCCCTTTTTGTAGTGCACAAGTGGCATTTGGTCCATGGTGTTAACCCCAAGTGAATCTCAGACTCACTCCTGAGCAGCTGCTGTTGGGAATGGGCACGGTATGCAAGTTCACAATGTTAGGTGGTGGTTTGCTTTATCGGGTTGGTGTGGAGGTAGTGGGAGGAGTTGCTGAAGAACAATATTTATTATCTACATGGTCTCCTGCCAAGGTTTCCCTCCCCCTCCCCACCAACACACACACACTTTGGTGGAAGGCTCCACGTGGTGCTCCATCATTTGGGCCATTTCCACGTTTGAAGACAGCCCTTGGCGGAGAGTGGACATTCCACGGTCCTGACTTCACGAGTTTTCTTGGCATTTCAAGTGTGCTCATGCTCCTCAGCAGGTCTGAAGCAGCACAGACCTTCAGAAGCAGAAAGAGGCAACTGTACTGGGAAGAGGCCCTGTGATGACTAGTGCAGACGGGACATATCAAAAAAACTCTCAGAGAAAGGTCCATTTCTCAACAACTTTGGCAAAAAGCGTGTAATTCCCACTGGCCGTGCTACAGTTTCCTAACACAATAGCAGCATACCTATACCAAGGCAGCTTTCTGAGACCCTTCTTTTTCACAAACAGCCCCATTTTGCATGGCCCCCAATAAAATAGTAAGCTAATTAACACAGAGGTCTTCATATTCATTTCTGAAGATCTGTCTCCTTCCAAGAACCTGAAAACTTTTCAATTCTCTCATTTAAAAAAAACAAGACACTGAAACCATCTGTTGAAGTCAACGGACAGAGAAAACCATTCCAAAACAAGATGAAAGAAAGGCTTTTGTCTACAGCCATGGCATGCTACAGCCTATATTAATGTTAGTCACCGCCATGGAAACAAAGGAAACCACTGTAAGGACAACACAGGTGTGCTGTTTCATAAGCTGTACAGAGTCTACAAATTTGTGTAGGAGGAATAATTGTGTTATGGTAAAACTGAAGGGCTAACAGAACACAGAGCACAGCGGGGTGTGACACTTGCACGTACCGTGTGTGTGTGTGTGTGTGTGTGTGTGTGTGTGTGTGTGTGTGTGTGTGTCTAATTTAAGAAGTACTTCAGATGCGCGCGTGTCTGTGTGTGTGTGTGTGTGTGCGCGCGCGCACGCGATCGCGCGTGTGTGTCTAATTTAAGAAGTACTTCAGATATTTCCTGAGCCAAAAGATAGCTAGTAAAAAAATTGGAGGGGTAGAAACTAATTATGTTTTCCTTAGAAACAAAACAGATCCTGGATGTCTTCTAGCATCCCCTCTTTTTATTTTTCCACCATTTGGGGTCTTTTTTTTTTTATGCCCGTTGAATCTAGCAACATAGTGGTCACAATAGAGAGCAATATCTAGTGTATGCTCAGACTCCTAAGCCTCTAATACTGACAGTTCAGCATAAGTATTGTATTAGTTACTCCAATACTTGCTTTGCAGGGAGGTTGGCAGCAGAACTGGGGAAGGGCTGGAATTTTCCCATTCCTCTTGAAGATCTTCCCTGGAAACTTACAGCACTCTGCGGTAATAATGTTCCTGCCTTGTCAGCAACAACTACAGTAGTTATCAATTTGAGATAGTCCATATGAAGTAGTGTCTATGACATGTGATTTTACTTTGCCAGCCCAGTATCATGAAGTACTGAATGTGTTGTTCTGCAATAATAGCAGCAGAAAAGTTTCTTTTCCATTTCTGTTGAAGACAGCTGTACAAAATTAAGGGGGTAGTCTGGCAGCCATTCAGCACATGGAGTGACCATTGGCTTCAATGGAAAATTTATGAACAGCATGGTGTGCAAATCAGGCTCCAAGACCAGAAGTTCTATAAGAAAATCTTTCCATATGCTGCCAACCTAATGCACAAGCCACCACTAAGCAACGGCTATAAACCTGACACAGAAGTGTCCCTCACTAGGGATCCATCTGCTACTCCCCACATTCCCCATCTGCAAGCTCTGACGCCTTGATCTAGACCAATTTCTGGTTCTGTTGCTTCCCTCTCTTGAAAGCAATCCCCTTCGAGTCCCGACAGCACGTGCTGCTTCTGCCGACCAGCAAACGGCTTCAAAGCAGAATTAAAATGTCTGTGACAGTTTTCATTGCTGTTCACACAGCACCTGTTTCCCAGGAAGCAGAGCAAGTCAGTGAGTGGTGGCAATAATTTAAATTTAGGACGAGAAAGGATCATCGTAGGCAGGGTTGGAGAAGGGAAACCAAAGCAAACAGGAGGACATAATCCAAAACTCCCTCCATTTCAAGCTAAATCTCCCTCAGGTTTCTCTCAGGTATTCTGGATGCATTTTTCATTAAAATAATAATCTTCAAATAAGAATCCTTGAGGTATTACCCATTCCAAGACACTAGTAAAGCCAGACTAGCTGAAGCTTGTGCATGAACTTTTTTCTTGTATAAAGAGAAATCTGAAAATTGAACTTAAATGCAATGGTCTCAGTTTACCCAATAACTAAGCTAAGAAAACAAATAAACAATCAACCAACCAACTGACCCAGGCCAAGAAAAGTTAACACATTTCTAATTTTTTACATGGCATATATAAACCTGAGTAAATGTTACTTATGTATTTTGATTTATGCCAACATGCTTATTTGGGGCAGTGGGGGAAGCTTTGAACTTTTAATCTTCAAATACAGCACATGCATAATACTCCAACCAAAAAGCCCATCAAGAAACCATCTCAACTCGTGTAACAAAATAATCAAGCAACTTCATATGCAGAACACAAAGACCACCCTCTGTCCTCCAAAGACCCATGGCTACGCCACATGCTGTGTAGAAAAACAGCTGATTATTTACAGTTAGTGTAAAATTCAGCCTCCAAAACAGCATTTCAGTCCATTAACAGTTTGTTGCAGTCTAAATGCTAACACTACCTTCTATTCCAGGACCTATGTCCAAATACAGACTCATCTCAAATTTCTGAGATGACAAACAGTCATTTGACATCAGAGTTAGCTGCAAAAACTATATCTAACTATCAGTATTATTTTACTGACAATTAGAGGCACCATAAACCTATCAGCAAAAGCATAATTTAAATTTAGAGGCACTAAGAGGAAAACCAGGCTGTAATCAGTCAGTTCTCCTCTGACTGATAGGTGTTAATGAAACCAAGCAACAAATACCGTGCTCTAAAGTCTTTCCGAGAATATTAAGATGATCTCACCCAGAAAAGAAAAGGCAAACAGAAGCTAAATAATGGAGCAGTTGCCCTTGGTCAATACACAGAGTAATTCATAACTACATATAGCCTAGTATCACGAACACAGTAAAACAGATCCCTGGCACAAATGAAACTCTCTTCTCAGTTCCAATGGCAGATAAGTATTGTCCAGTTTTTGCTCTGTTACCACACTCTGTTGTTGTTATTAGGTTTTCCTCTAAGACAACAGAGTGCCATTGCTTCAGTGAGAACTTTTATTTTAAATTTCCTGCCTTAAAAAAAAAAAGAAAAAAAAAGCCCTAAATCACCAATGTCCCCAGCTATAACTGCTGAAATACCTCTAGCTCTCTCCCCTTCTATTATTCTGGACCAACCCATGTTCTTCATTTAATACAATCCCATAGTTTCCATATCTTCGGCATAAATGAGAGCTATGAATATTTAGCCAAGTGCAAGTACGAGGGTGTTTCAGAGAGTAAAAACAATTCTGGATGCAATGTTCTTTTGCTCTACACAGTTATAAACAATGGGTACATTCAAACAGTCACCATTAGCGTTCTCCGTTGCTTTGTAGTTTCTCCACTCACTGCACACAAAACACTTTTATTCTGAAATTGCCATTACTTTCTGAAGCATCTCTTATATACACACAATACAGGGAATATACATGTATTTTATATAAGATACACAGCCACATGCACTGTATTGATGACTCTGCATGGCAATCAGAGCTGCCGTTCTATAGATTATTAATACTGCATGTTCACTTGGTTACCAGGATGTTTATTGATAAACATACTTGCTTAGTTTAACTAGCAGACTGAAAGGAAAAAAAAAAAAAAGGAAGGAAACAGGCTGGATGCCTCCCTCAGCAATAACTGTTAGAGAAATGCAAGATATTGGGCATGATTTAAATATAACTGTGCGAAGTTTAATGGCCTGTGAAACAAGTCAGACGTAAATGTTCTAATGACCTGTTTTGGTCTTAAAATCTCCAAGTAGGAGGATTCCAGAAGTGGCTGAAAAAAATTAGTGCTAGAATGAAGATTAGCAAATGGTGCCCTTAAATTGGCCAAGATGAAGCATTTTATCCTAGAACCTTTTTTCAACAGCAATTGTGTCCGCGCCACACTCTACATGAGGCATATTTGTTTATGCCGGAACATTTTTGATGGTCTAATATGGCACTCAAGTCTAATACATTTACATACACAGATGCACTGTTGCCAAGACTACTTTTTTTTTTTTTTTTTTAAATAAGCTAAACAAAATCAAAGACAGAGTCAAAAAGATATCTAAACAGCATGCTACAAAAGAGAAGACAGCCATGCTGCGTCTACATGGCAGACGCTCATGAAATCTAGGAAGAGGATAGTTTCCTCTTCTAAAGCAAACCTATCACATCACAACTTAAAAACACACAAACAATATATATCTAAATTCACACTGCAATGACAGTCTTTACATGTGGGTGGTGGGGTGTTTTCTTGGCATATTTATTGCACACTATAGAGGTTTGTGTAAGGCTTGAAAAATGTAATGCAAAGATAAAAATAAGAACCAAAACATATTTCACGTTACCATGTGGGTCTTGTTCAATCGACTTTGGGCTGCTTCTTGCTCTGCGCTCTGGTTTCTTTACTCCTGGTGCTGCTCCTCCTCCACCACCACCTCCTCCACCTCCACCTCCTACTCCACCACTACCACCTCCTCCTCCACTGCCTGCTCCATTGTGGCTCTTTGCATAACCATTGTATACAGTTGTGCAGTTGCTCAGGTGGGTTTTATAAATGGAGGAAGGAGGGCTATTCAGCCGGTTCTGACGGTCAATCGGTCTGTCTTTGAGTTTTTTGTGCTGTGGTTTGCTGTACTGATCTTCCCTGGTAATGTAGCTGGACATCCCATATAGTGGTATGATTTCTGAAATAAAAAGGGTCCAGCCAAATTAATTAAAACTAGAAATAGTCTGCCATTCACAGTATTACCTTCTCAGCCAGGTCAAAATGGACTTACACAATAATTTGTCTCATTTGGGTCTCTACACAACTTAAAATTTAATTTTGCTCGTTGGCAGTGTTAATAAAACACCTGCATATTCCTGCCTGGTCTATTACTGTTTCAGGTTTATGCAATCAGAAGTTTTATTCGACTTCTGCATAGAAACTGAGTGCTTTAAGGTTTCAGATCTCACAACAAGTCCCTGGTAGAATAAAACAGAAGAAAAGATTTCACTCAAATTCACAGCAAGCCTTTTCAAGTCACTGGTTTTGGCAGAAAATGTTTCCATGCAGTGGATTCAAGGTTAGTTACTGGCTAGGTCTGTCAAAATCCTTTAGTACAGATAAGACCTTGTGCCATGGCCTCAAATGCCACTCCCAAAGGCTGAAGTACAGTTTCAGTAAGGAGAAGGTCAGAAGAACATGGGAATTAAAGGATGGAAAGCAACAGATAAAAAGAAAACATGGTTGACAAGAAAAAAAAAATCCAAGAGCAGTATTTTCTACTGTTAAAATGAAGTTTCAGATAACTTTATTAAATACAAGAATTAATGGACAGGGTGAGGAATTCCCACAACATTTGTGTTGCTGTACGATGCGGTTGCACTCAAACCCTGTATTATGCTTGGAGTTTTTAAAGTTGGTTCAAACTCAGGCTCAAAGCAACACTGAACTGAAAATACAGTTTTGCTCAGTTCTACCAACAAACCACGACATGACTCGCATTCCTTTAAGTTCAGTCAAGGTTCCTTCAAAAAATCCTGGCTGCAAGCTTCCAAATACTGCAGCCAGCTCTAGTGATAACACCTGTTTTCTAAGCCGGTATTGCCATGCACACTTTCATTAGAACTTGTTGAATTCTTTCAGCTGCTTAGTCCTTTCTTTTTCTTCTCATTTAGAAGTGTCTTTCATTTATCTTTCCTTATCTAGTAACATGATCACATTGAAGTGCTAGGATCAAGTGGCTGTCTATATATAGTATTCCAAGAATGTGATTACACTAAATGCAATCAATGGTATATTGGGGATCTGAGAGAGCTGATGCAGAAGACTTTAAAAGAAGTTGTGCTTTTTAGAATAAAAACAATGAAAAGTAATTATTTCTTGCTAATGTTGGTATTCAGTGCAGAACCCATTGTGCGAAGTATTCTGGGGACTGTGTATTAAGCATGAATTTATTATGTTGTACAAGAAAACGTTCAAAAAATTCTTTTATTGCAAGCACATGATGCCACTGGCAACACAGTTATTTTTGCACACATGAATCAACTGACTGTTAACTTAAAGTTGCAGAAATATACACTATCTACTGTACCACCAGCTGGTAGCTCAGTGCCTATTTAATATACTGCAGCTTTCACATTAGCTTTTTTATTAAGCAACTTCAGCCTTTGGAAAAGGGAACAAGAAGAGTTCCTGTCCTATCTGATTGGATACCACCCTACTGACTTATACCTAAAGGCTGAGGCACATCATTTATCTTTAAAAAATAGAAAGCAAGCAAGCAAGCTTGCTCTTCCCCACCCCATAACTGAAATTTTAGTGGATAATTTTTTT